TTGTCCGGGAGTTCCATCAAAAGAGAATATAAGTTTCTTGTTGGAAAGTTGGATCCAGAACGAGACAAGTCTTTCGAGCTCCCAGACAGCCCCGCTTCCGTCAATTCTATACTTGGCAGCATCACCACCTTTTTGCACGTTTACACCAGCTGAAGCAGTTTCCAGCCCCTCTAACACCGCTAGATTTCCTCCCCCGCAAGCTTCATACGGCACAAATCTCAAGAGGTCGGTATCCTGAAAGAGGCCTCGGTATCCTCTCCCCAGTGCATAAACCAGACAGACGGCTTGCGAAGGTAAAACTTCTTCGAACAGATAGCAGCCAGTCATCTGCCATGTTGACGAAGAAACGTCTGAAAGCTGTGGAGGAATCCCGATAACTGCTTGAATAGTCTTTCCAAACGAGGAAGGCGAGTAGCCAAGCTTTCCTGTATGCCTCAGGTTTCCGTTTACGTAGAGGCTCGCCACACTCGACTGAAAGAGACCGGCGAGTGCATTCGGTTTGTTATGCACAATGACTATATGGTACCACAGGCCTTCTTCCAGTCGGACACCTTTGAAAGCTAAGAGAGAACTAGGACCAGTTGCCAGAGTTAAGAGCCCCGAATCATTCAAGTAAAGCTCCGCTAATACTGTCCCCTTCTCCTCCACAGACTCCACCATGAAGATACGAAGAGCAGGTCGACTTCTTCCACCCTTGGTTTTTCCCTCTATCCCAGTGAATCGAAGCCAGCACATAAATGAGTAGCCTGCTGCTGGTGGCCATGACCTGTCTCCTAGAGAAATTCGGACGGAGGCATGTCCATTTCGTCGTGAGGAGAAGTCCATGAAGCGTGCAGCAGGAGAGATTTCTGCCGAGCTCTCCTCACTGCGAACCACCCCTTCTAACGCTTCAATGTATCTTTGTGCAACTTGACCGTAAGTATAATCTCTGCACTGCCACATATATCGCAGCAAAGCCCGTAGCTCAAACGAAGAGATTCTGTAAAAAGAATAGAAAGACAAGAAAGAAACACGTTAAAAAAAAGTAGAAAATCCCAAGGCTCTGGCTTTCTTACCTATAGGAACCGAGAAGCTTCACTATCTGCATGCCGTGCATCCATATCGCAGGCGAATAGCTTGCACTCGGCGTGAGAATCTCCAGCACCATTTTCAGACAACCTGGGAGCTTTAATGAGAAAGAAGTCCAGCACCAGTGATATTTCGCATACCTGCTAAAGTGAGACGATCTTTATTCACTAGACTTCCTTCGGATAATGCCTCGACCGACGTGACCACCTTGAGCTGCGCCTTGGGAGAGAAGTCGTCGAAAAGTTGAAGCGCTACTTGAACGAGCCCGGCATTGAAGAGCTCACGTCGCTCGTCAACCGAGATAAACTCGTTGTCCCACGTCCCAGCACGAAAGCTGTCAACATTTCTTGCGGGGGATTGAACTTTCTCGAGGCAGATGTCGAAAAATAAGTCCAGAATAAGGTCCTCGTAATCGCCACAAATGAGTCCCGTCTTAAGTAAAGCAGCGCTGAAGGCATGACTGAGCACGCAGTCGTTCAGTCTTATCCGATTTACCGAGTGGCCTGCTACTCCCACAGTCACCACATGCAGCAAAGCATTGACAATCTCCATCCTCTGCCTTGGTTCCGCACCGGAAAAGTCTTCCAAACTTTCAAGGACAGTGTGCATGAGAGTGAATCCCTTCCCCTCACCGAAAACGTCCTTTGCCGCCGGATTCGAGCAGAGTATTCGAAAGACAGCCCAAAGGATATCCGTCTTGGCCTTAAAAGTGATACCTTGTCCCTCGCCGGCTCTAGTGGTGCCGAGTAGAGCCTTCAATTCTTCAGGATGCGACTGCATTAAAAGTGTAAGTTCCTTAACGATTGTATAAAAGAACAAACCTGAACTGTGTCCTCAGAAATCAGACAGCTTAATATTCGCAGCACGTAAGTTCTGTGGATATCTGATAGAAGTAACGGTTGAAGCGCGTCGAAACCATGCGCTTTTCGGAAGGCAGTTTGGTTGGCTTCGTTCCTCTTCAGCAGTGACAGTAGACAATCCCAGCCTTGAGCCAAGCTCACTTTATCTTCAAATATATGCACTGCTTGACCATCTTTCTTTTGCGATATCTTAGCAGCCGTCTTCAAGTCCTCAACAAGGAGATCGAGCACGCCGACTTCGCGAAGCACTTTCTTGTACTGAGGATCAAACGAGAGAATCTTCACGAGGAAAGAAAGTATGCTGCTTCTCAGTGACTGGGACAAGGATTGTTGCAGCAGGCAACACAGGGAAAGGAGCTCCTGCTCCGGGACCTGATTCACAACCGTCACGACATGCTCCAGCACTTTCAAAAGCTGTCCCTGAAGAACACGCGGTAGAGCTGGCATGTTGAGAATAAAAAGTGACAGGGTCCTGAGCTCTTGAACAACCAGATAGTTATCCATGTGACTTGCAAGTAGCCTCAGCAGCCTGTCAAGAACTTCCACCTGCGAATTCAGATTCCCAGACTTGAGAAAGATATCCTGTAGCACTTGAACCGCAAACAGATCCCGCACTTTCCCATCTGTCAGAGATTCGTTTGACTTGAATCTGGTTCCATCAAAAATCGGGAAGCACCTGCTTTGGATAGCCACCGCTTTTGCCTTGTTGTAGTTTAAATCCCCGGGCTCACTTTCTTCGACTGGTCCAACTTGAGCGAGGTCTATAAGAGTGTCGAGCAAAGCCAAGAAGGACGTCGACAAGTCTGCTTGCCCGCTGCTCGTTTCTTCCCCAGAGTCTTGCAGACTTAACAGCCTGCCAAGGCTTGAAGATGCACTGGCATCCGCTGTTGCAGGACTAGCAAGAGACAGCCCGAACTGCACCAGCAACTGATAACCATGAGCATTTTGCAAGTCCTCCCTGAGGTTGATCCCACCAGCACCTGTTGGATAAGATTAATTGACGTACATTCACCAAGGACGCAAAAGCTAGCCATACCTGGTCGACAAGAAACCTCGACGCAGGTAAGCAGAAGCGACACAACTCCCACAGTGAGTGTTCCGTCACCGCTCTCACACGTAAACTCTTTCACTGGCCGTAACAGCATTTTGACCTGGTCGGCAATGACAAGTCGTTAGAATGCATTCAAGACATGTACAAACTTACAAGTTGATGCCGGTGAATATAGTGAGCGCAGCTTCCGTCATCACTCGAAAGAACATTTCCAAGGATCTGCGTCAATTCTAGCAAGTTTACATGGAAGAGGTCGCGATTGTTATGCAGAAAGTGTCAAACCTGAAGCACGTGGCGGTGAAGTTGTGCTAGATGTACAGACGAAGGCCGTTGAATGACCATCGCAAAGAGCATTTGCAAAGAATCATCGTCTGCTAGACTCTGCGCGGCTCCAAGGTGACTCCCCAGCGCCTTCAAGATATGCACAACTTCTCCTTCGACCTGCAACACAGATTCAGTGAGGAAAGTTGAGATACCCAAAGCATTACCTGGAGCTTTTGTCTTTTCCCATCGTCACTCAGAGCGTCTACAAAATCGTCAGTCAAATCGAGGAAACTGTACAAGACGTGCACGAGGCACGAAAGAAGGCCCGCATCGAGGAGCGGCTGTACGTCAAGTGGCTGCCACGAGAACAAATTTCATGCATTCACGACAGCGTAAAAGATGAGAAACTTACGGGGGAGACAAGGCTTTCGAGGACGTAGAGCATGTTTGCTGTTTCTTCCTTCACACGGGAGAAGATTTCCGTTAGAAAAAAAAATGCTACACTTCAACCTTTCGAACTTTCGATTGGTGAAACAGTAGGAGGTACCTGCTTTCCTTGAATGAGAGATTTGGCGAGTGTATCTTGGCTAGTGGATGACTTTATCTTATCAACGTCAGCGATGAAAGCTCTAGCAACCACAAAGGCGAATTGCCTTGTGTCGACTAGCCTGGAATCCCAAGAAAAAGAAGAGAGCATTTTTTTCTTAAACGATCAGACCAAATCCAAGCAGTAAATACGTACGAGGTGGCAAGCTGCGCAGGATTTTGGTGACGCCGGGAGAGCTTACAGAAAACACTTAGCGCCATCTCCAAGGCTTCTTGCTTCTCCTGCACTCTCACGACAGTTTTTAAAAGCTTGCTCCTCACGAGTGAGACGAGACACACTCACCTTGTCCGAGTGTCCACATCGAAACTCCTCCCAGAATCTCTTGAAGTCCTGCTCCGATTCATAGCTACGAAGAACAAACAAAAAGAAGAAGAGGAAATGATAGTGAGAGCCGACTGTTCACGCGAATTCAAAGAAGAAAAGAGGACAACTCACTGTTGCTTGGAATTGGCATCGCCATCGAGATTGGCGGCGGCGCTCCTCCGGCCGGATTGCGAGCCAGGCGAATCCCGCGACGAGAAGTTAACTTTGTTGAGGAGCGAAGTCCATTTCATTGTTGGGGCCTTGTTCTTGGACGAGAATGTGACACCATCGCCAACAATATCATGTAAAGCGCATCCCTGGATCGAGAAATTCCCGCTGCCGGGCCTTAGATCCTACATTCCAGGCCGAGCCGCCGAGGCGAGATCATCGCCCCACGCCCTACAGCGCTCCTAATCTCCCGAGAGCTCACCCGGCGCGCTCCAGAATGGCGCCGCTGCTAAACCCCAGATTTCTCCTGCTCGCTAAGAAACCGGCGAGATCTTGGAATCCGGGAGCTGCTCCAAACCTGTGGCGCGGCGCGCGTCCCTCGGATCTTCGCTGCGATGGCCCCGCCCGCGGCCAAATACCATCGCCTTCTTCTTTCTGGCTCTTGAGAAAGAAGAGAAAACAAATACAAATGAGAACAAGCATAGAATACACAAAATAACGCGGATCCAATTAACGTTGACAACCGGGGTTAAGTATTTTAACGGAGCTAGGGCTCCTGGGAGATGCGCGGGATATTCCACGTAGTTCGACAAAAGTGCTGTTGGAAGGAAGCGTCAGGAATTTCTTTTCGGAGGAAAGAATTCTGGGGAAGTGGCCACCATGACTGACTGGACGCTCAAACAAATCCATCCGTTCGCCCATTCGTTCGCATGGATGAATGAGTGAGGGCACGATCAATCACTAAAAATGTTTGTCACGCTCACCCGCCGACGTCGATCGTGGATCGAATCACACAAGATCAGCCATTTGTGGGTGGAATAATCCATACTTGTTGTTGTTTCATGCGATCACTCACTACCATAAACAAGAGCTTTTCCTTGATGCTTGCTATAGCTGAAGTTATTCTAATCGAGACTGCTACTATTCATCCGCTGCTCTCCATGAGGTGTTCTTGTTGGACTCCTCCATGGTTTCCAGGATCCGGGACTTCTTCGTCAGCAACACTGGACGTAGCGGCGGTGGTGGCGGTGCTGCTCTCCTCCGCCTCCACAGTTTGCGAGGTGGTCTCCAACTCCTCCACCACCTCGTCCTCTTCAGTCACTTGTTGCTCGCTCACAGTCTCATCAACCTGGGCAGCAGGACGAGGAGGCGGCGCTGCTTGGACTGGGAGGAGCTGCGGATACTGGCGCGGCGGTGGCGGCGGTGGCGGTGGTGGGAACTGAAAGTGTGGAGGTTGCTGCTGAAACTGGACATGGTGAGGAGGAGGAGGAGGAGGATGATGTCCAAATCCGGGAGGTGGCGGTGGTGGCGGTGGCGGCGAGAAGAATGGAGGAGGATAGAATGCTCCGGGAGCCTGTTGTAACTGGTAGTGCTGTATTGGACGAGTATAGTCGAAGCTCCCATCCGGCCGAGCAGCCATGATCATCTTTGCATCGCCAGCCAAAGGTGGCCGAGATCCAAAGCTCAAGGCATGAGAAGGCGGCGGCGGCGGCGGTGGTGGGAGAGCCCAAGGCGATGGCGGAGGCGGTCCTCTTTTCTTCATGGCTTCCCGCATCTCCAAGTAGACGGCGTCCATTTGCTGGCAGTCTCCAAGCTGGCTGAGGCTCTCAATCACGAGCTTGTAAGTCGGGATGGCGATGGCGAGCTCCGACGCTTTCATCGCCCTGTGGATGTGCGAGACATCCTCGGCCAGCCCCCGCTTGTGGCACGCATCCACCAAGCTCGCAAAGTGGTACGAAGCCTCTTGCTTTTGCTGTGGAGAAGGCGACGAGTGGTGCCTCTCGTGGCCCCCCGAGGACCTCGCCACCATAGCTCGCCTCATCTCCGCGTACACGGCATCCATTCGCTCGATGTCGTTGTGCTGGCTGTAGATGCCGAAGAGAGCCATGTAGGCCGGGAGTCCAACGACGACCTCCGCTGCTTTCATGGCTTTGATGAGCGTGTCCATCTCGTGGAGCAAACCTCGCTTGTGGAACGAGGCGATGAGAGCGTCACAGATGGTGGACGCCTCCGCGGGATGCTGCGGTGAAGGCGGTGGTGGTGGTGGTGCTCGATTCATGGAAACGCTCTCCTACAAGTAGAGAAGCTTTTGTGAGATCTTGGAAAGAATCTATCTTGGAATAGCTGGAGTACCTGGTGCTGCGGAGGAGCGATCGATGCGTAGTGAGGAGGCGGCGCCAATGCACTTCCGCGATCACCGAGCTCGATGCTTCCGGGCCAGGGAATGCTCGGCCTAGGAGGAGGCGGCGGCGGCGGTGCTCCAAATCCAAGCGGAGGAGGTCGATGAGTTGGTGGCGGCGGTGGCGGTGGTGGCGGAGGAGGAGGCGCAGCATAGCCGGTGCTAGGCGAGGGCCGCGTCGCGCTACTCGTGGTGTTTGGATCCACATTGTCCCAGGGAGAGGGAGCGTACCTTAGCCATGGCTGCGAGGAGCAAAACCTACACCATCCCAGGGGCAGCGATGGCGCGAGCTTCCTCCCAAGGGCTTGCGCGCCCAAGAGCTGCCTCATCCCTCCTGGCCGCCAAATTTTCTCGCGACCTAAAACCCATCTTCTCTAGGACTTCATTCTCTTTGTATCGATCGTGATTCGTGAATGAGCGGAATCCAATGCGCTGTGCCTCTCTCAGGCACAAGGCAGCCAAGAACACGAGAACGCTCTGCCATGACGCCGCCGCTATCGCCATCGCCACCGATGCGAGCTACTGGGCTCCGCTCATCCAGTCGTGCTGCACTGCGCGGGATTTGCCCCGGGCCAGGCACATCCACGCGCAGATCATGCTCTCGGATCTCAAGAACAACCGGATGCTGGCCAATCTCCTGGTGGAGATGTACGGCAAGTGCGGCTGGATGGCGGCGGCCAGGGCCGTGTTCCGCTGCATCAAGAACCCCAACGTTTACTCGTGGAACATCCTCATCTCCGCGCTCGCGCTTAACCGGGAGGTCGCCGAGGCAGCCTTGATGTTCCACCAGATGCCCTCGAGAAACAATGTCTCGTGGAACGCCTTGCTTGCAGCATATGCCGCGAGCGGGCATTTGCAAGATGCCCGAGTGGCCTTTCTCAAGCAGCCATGGCGTGACGTCTTGACATGGACGACGCTTCTTACAGTCTTGTGCCAGTGCGGCCACCTTTCCGAGGCTCATTTCCTGTTCGAGAAGATGCCGGAGAGGAACGTCGTAACTTGGAACGCGATCGTCGCAGCATATGCCCAGAACGGGCATGTTGATGAGGCAGAGCTCTTGTTCCATCGGATGCCGCAGCACGACACCAGGTCGTGGAACTCTCTTCTGATCGCTCATGGTGAATCTGGCCGCATCCACCAAGCTCGGCACATCTTCTCCCGAGTCCAGCAGCCGGATCACGTTTCCTGGACGTCGATGATCGAGGCTTACGTCGCAAACGCGTACCTCGAGGAGGCCAAGGCGCTGTTCGACAGAATGCCGGAGCAGGACGTGGTTTCATGCACAGCGCTCATCACTTCCTTCGCGCAGAGAGGCTATCCTCACCAGTGCAAGCTTCTGTTTGATGGAATGCCCTTCCGGGATGCCGTGTCCTGGACAGCGCTCATGTCCGGCTATGCACAGAACGGCCTCATGGAAGACGCGCAGGAGGTAAACTCGCGAAATCCACAACACAGCATGATCGGTTGCAACGCAATGGTGGCGGGTTTCAGCCAGCGAGGAGACTTGGCGCAAGCAAAAGCAGTTTTTGATGCAATGCCCGAGAGAGGAACCGTGTCCTGGAACGCTCTCATGGTTTCGTATACAATGACAAGCGCAAACAACCAGCACTACCGCGATCGAATGGAACAAGCGCTTGCAATCTTTGGCTTGATGCCGGAGCAGGATATGGTGGCGTGGACCGCGATCCTTGCAGCGTATGCTCAATCCGGGCATGTCGATCAAGCGAAGTTTTTCTTCCAGAGAATGCCCGCGCAGGATCTCACGGCGTGGAATGTGATAATCGCGGCTTATGCTCACAACAGCAGTGGCTATGGAGCCCAAGTTTTCCGAGAGATGAGCCTGGCAGGAGTGAGACCTAACGAGACCACTTTCGTCGTCACGCTCACGGGTCTCAGCCACGCTGGTCTGCTCAAACACGGCCGGGAGTGCTTCCTCTCCATGACTGAAAACTTCCAAGTTGCTCCCACCGAGTTCCACTACGCCTGCATCATCGATCTCCTGGGCCGAGCTAAGCTGCTCCAGGAAGCCGAGGAGCTCATCGACAACATGCCTTACAAGCCGGACTGTGTCGTGTGGACGATCTTGCTGGCAGCCTGTCGGATCCACGGGGACTCCAAGCTCGGGGCCCGAGCCGCACGGAACGTTCTCAAGTCGGACACGGTGAGCTCCTCGACTTATGTGCTGCTGTCCAATACTTACAAAGGTATCACCGGACACGGACATGGCTCCGAGTGGCAGCCGCTTGGATCATCACAGGCTGCTGCCGCTTGCCTTGCCTAGGCCCGGAATGTGGAGGCTGCTCCAAACTTTCGCTTCGTCTCGTCATCATCGGAACCGCTACTGTCGTCTTGAGGAGCCACCGGCTTGTGACGAAGGCCGTGCTCCATCCCATGCCTGGTGAAGGAGATTACGTGCTGGTACTCGTCCTTGGCCTCGGCAATGCAGCCTTCCTTTGCCAGCATCACGGCCTGGCCGTGGTGCGAGATTTCAATCTCCGTGGGGTTTCCGTGGTGGGATTCTGGCAGGGGTTGTTTCCACGGCTCGCCATCCATTCGCATGTAAGTGTGGCTGCTCGTGGAGCCAGCTTGAAAGACTATCTTCACCCGGTTGGCCTGTGGGACACACAAAGGTGGTGAGACGAAGGAGATCAATATAAATACCTGTGCGAGACGTGTCCCGTGCCCGTGTGGAAACAGAAGGAACAGGCCATGCCAGGCGTCCCTGAATCCCACAATCTCTAGCAGGCCATCGTCGACCCTTGGAACTGTCAGACCCCGCTCGTGGGATAACTTGTCGTTCGGATTTCCCCAGGGATCCAAGCCTCCAGAAAAGCTCGGCAAGTTCAGCAGCACAAGCGCTCGTATGCTGTCATGAAATGCGGTGGCATTAGCCTCGAGAATTTTGGAGTTCCAGCGTTTCAAACCTTGAGGAGATCTTTAACTCCGTCCACTTTCCTTTATCGAGCACGTATACAGTTGCAAGGTCGTTAATGTTCCTGCAAAAAGCCAACCATTGATTGGTTCAGCGACTAGGAAAAACTGTATCAACTACGAACTTTGATGAAGCATGGCGCCTACAAGAAGGGCAGAACCAGCCTTGTGTACAGCCAAGTTTTGCATACGTGCACTGCAAAAATCGAGTTAACTACTTAAAAGCTTACATTAGAGGACACTTACTTGATTTCGCATCTGGTTACTGAACTTTTCAGGGTGCTTCTGCCTCTGCTCATGAAATTCGTAAGAAACCTGTGCATCCATTCCTGCAAAGAGAAAGTAAAAATGATTATAAGCACTGGAGCGGTACTGCACCTCACCTATGCTGAAATAATTCCAGAATCCTCCTCGATAGATCTGTAGCTTTTCCTGCAACCATGCACAACTCAGCTCATAAGTGCCTCTCGACAAAATTCGTTTTTCTTACGCGGCTCTCTTCACTTTTCTTGAAGACGTGTAACGAATGTGGAGCCTCGAGACCAAGATCAGTTGTTCCCTCCATTTTCATCGCTAGATGCCAGCTGCAGAGACAAGAAAACAAGCATTCTAAGTTGAGCATGCAACAAAAGCATAGCCAACTTTTTTTTACCTGTCGACTTGCAAAGGATGGGCGTCCATGACATCTGCTAGAAACCGTTTGACAGACTCGGCATCTGTTCCAGGATTCTTCTTTCCCTGCTCGCACAAGAAAAAGAACCAGTTTTCATTGGAGAAGAACATCCGAAACAGTACCCATCCGAAAGAAAACGGGAGATTGTTGCCGGTTCCAAGAGGAATAGTTGCAATAGGAATTGGCTTCTCGAGCCTCAAGTCTCCCATAATTCCAAGTAACCAGCCGGCGGTACCATCGCCTCCAGCAACCTGTAGGCACATCAAATCAAACTCTCCACGAGAGGGCAGTAGCCGAGACTCACCACAAGCCGCAACCGCTCGCGAATTTCTCCGGCAACTTCATCTCCTGCCTCTGTTAAATCTTTCAAGCGCTTGAGTATCCGATCTAGAACCCTGTCCGGAGCTTCCTCGCTCAGATCAAACAACTGAAGAAGAAAAGCAAGATTTTAGAGAAGAACCCAAAGTGGTCCTGAACTTAAGGTACCTGGCGTGAATCCAGGAGCATCTTGCAAGTCTGGAGGAGAACTTTGCCAAGCTGCCCACCACTTTTGGTGTTGATAAAGACGAGCACCGGACACTTTGGAATGCGGAAGCCATCTGAAGCCGAATGCCCCCTCCCATCTCCCGTCCACACAAACTCGGGAATCTTTAAGTCCTCCAGATCCAGCGACTCACTGTTTTGCCTCCTCTTGTCGAGGTGCTTTTTCATCTTGATCTTGATCACACCCCGTCTGATCTGAAAATTCTGCTGCCTGACAATCGTGTCCAACAAAGAATTGGAGATGAGATAAAGCCGGACCGGACCGACTTCTTCTCGTCACCGAAGCGTGATCTCGGGAACAACCTGCCCTCGTTCCTACCTATAACCTAATACGCGGAGCTCGCTTTTTCAGCTGCGAAGACCAAGGCCCTTCCTGGTCTTCCCAACGAACAAGTCCCGGCTCTTGACAAGGCCAGGGATCCAGCCAACAAAAGTTCCAAAGGGGAGTTGAGCTACTCCTGCGTGACGCCCCAGAGAAACCAGTCCCATTGCCCGTTCCAGCGGACAGTAGCACCTTAAGTCGCCGCAATCAGCATCATTCGTCAGCTTTCGGATGTTTGCGGCGACGACCTTGGCGTGCTTCTCGGCGAGAAATCCTTGCTTAATCTCCTGTAAAGATGTTTAGAGTAGAAGAAGAGATGCTAGATATAGGTTCCTACCTTCAGGTCGGTGATGTCTCCACACGCAAACACGTTCCGCGTTCCACTCACGAGTAGCGCCGAGTCGACCCGTAATCTTCCATTGCCGTCGAGGGAGTCCTCCAGGAAGGTGCCCTTGAGCCAGGAGCTGCTGGGCCTGGAACCCGTGCACACGAAGTGTGTGTCCGCTGGGATTTGCTTCCCGGACTCTGTGGTAAAGATTGGTGGCGAGGCCGAGCTTGTGATTCGCTCCTTCAGAAGAACCCGGACAGATTTGGACGTCAACCAGTTGAGAGCCTTGGTGGAAGCCGAGGGGCCGAGGAACTCGATGAGCCGAGGACCGCCTTGTACCAAAGATACGCTTTTCTCGGGAAAGTCCGTGACAATCTCTCCAGCAAGTTCCACGCCGACGGGACCTCCACCAACGACGAGAATCGAACTTGCTCGCTTCAGCCTCTCATGGTCTGTTGTTCATGGAACCAAAACGTGAGTGAGAAAACAAAACGAGGAAAAAGGCTTTGAAGTTACAAACCAGCCAAGATTTCTTGAATGCGGTCTCGTCTAGTGGGTGCACCCTTGGCATGCGATCCGGTGCTGATGACCAAAAAGTCGTAAGGGAGTTTTCGGCCGGTGCTAGTCGAGACCTGAGCAGGAGAACTGCTCACACTCACGGCCGCGCTTTGGACGAGCTCCACTTGCGTCAGAAACTCCGAGTATGGAACGATGGATCGCTCCGCGAATGAAGGCTCGACTGTGTTTCGAAGAGCACCGTAAGGTATCTCCAAGTAATCCTTCCTGCCAATATCATCACATCACTTTCTCAAGACAAACAAGAGAAGAAAACGAGAGACTTACGGATCGATCAGCGAAACCGAGGCCTCCGATTCAAGAGCTTTTGCCACATGCACCCCGGCAATGCCACCTCCCACCACCACAACACGCTGCTTCCTCCTCTTGTCCATTTCTACAGTATCTATCTAGGATCAAAAAATTTCTCCCTGTCTACGTTTCGAATCTTCGATCAACACGTAACTAGCTAGCTGAAATTCTAGCTAGCTAGCTGCCTCTCTACCTCTTTGCAAGCATCCTTCAGCGTGGCGACCAGATCCTGGAGCTCCTCAACCCCACACACGAAGTGAATCGCAATTGGAGGCTGCGATCCAGCTGGAGCTTCCAGGCTCACATTGTAGAACACATCCTTGGCGGCGCTACCACTGCTCCGCTCCACACACAAATCGCGCCCCCATTCCACTCCCACAATCCTTGGAACGCCCCCGTCCATTCCCAAGAACCCTAAAAGTAGATCAATGGCAAAATGGAGTTCTTTTATTGGTCATGGACAACGTTCCTCGTATTTAAAAAAGTATCGATGGAGGAGTGAGAAGCTTAGAAGTGGATGGACTTGTCATAGGTGGCCATAGCGGCCTCCTTGACGGCCTCGCTCAGCGTCGGGTGCCCGTGACACGTCCTGGCGATGTCCTCGCTCGACGCACCATACTCGAGCGCAAGGCACGCCTCGTGGATCATCTCGCCGGCATTGGACGCCATGATGTGGATGCCCAAGATCTTGTCACTCTCCTTCTCCGCGATGATCTTGACGATCCCCTCGGCGTCGTCGATCGTCCTGGCCCGGCTGTTGGCCATCATCGGGAACTTGCCAACGCTGTACGCGATCCCCAGCGCCTTGACTTGCTCCTCCGTCTTGCCCACCGATGCGACCTCGGGGTGCGTGTACACGATGCCCGGCACCGTGTCGTAGTTGACGTGCCCGGCCTTGCCGGCGATGAGCTCCACGCACGCCACCCCGTCCTCCTCGGCCTTGTGCGCCAGCATCGGCCCCCGGATCACGTCCCCGATGGCATAGACGCTGGGGACGCTCGTCCGGAAGTGGTCGTCCACCTCCACCCGGCCCATCTTGTCGAGCTTGATCCCCACCTCGTCCAGTCCCAGGCCCTTGGTGTATGGCGACCGCCCCGCGGCGACGAGCACCACGTCCGCCTCCAAGCTCGACGGCGAGCCGCCGGACGCCGCTTCCAGGGAGAGCTTGAGCCCGGAGCCCGACTCCTCCACCTTGACAACCTTGGTCTTCATCACGAACTTCATCTTCTGCTTCTCCAGCGAGCGCTGGAACGTCTTGCGGACCTCGGCATCCATGGACGGGACGATCACGTCCCCGAACTCCACCACCGTCACCTCGGAGCCCAGCCGCCCCCACACGGATCCCATCTCCAGGCCAATGTAGCCCGCGCCGATCACCACCATCTTATCGGGCACCTCCGCTAGCGCCAGCGCCCCCGTGGACGACACCACCTTCTTCTCGTCGATGGTGATGCCGGGGAGGCCCTTGACGTCGGATCCGGTGGCGATGATGATGTGCTTCCCCTTGACGCTCTGCGAGCCGCCGGAATCGATTAGCTCCACCGCGACCTCGTTGGGGGAGACGATCTTGCCGCTGCCCTTGACGTACGTCACCTTGTTCTTCTTGAACAGGCCCTCGATTCCCTTGGTAAGCCCCGACACAGCCTGCTCCTTCTGCGCCATCATCGCGGCAACGTCGATGTCCACGCCGGACACCTTGACGCCGTGCTTGGAGAAGGTGTGCTTGGCCTCGTGGAACATATGCGACGAGTGGAGCAATGCCTGTGGTGTTCATCCATCCATGGGTTGAGCAATCAAATGCCAAGAAGAATCGAGTGAGCAGCACTTACTTTGGAAGGAATGCATCCAACGTTGAGGCAAGTGCCGCCCAGGGAGCCTCTCTTCTCGATGCACGTCGTCTTGAATCCCAGCTGCGCCGCCTTGATTGCCGCAACGTAGCCGCCAGGCCCGCCGCCAATGACAACCACATCGTTGTCCTCCCCGGATGCAAACCCCCTCACGCCGCCCAAGCGCCCAATTCCGCCATACCCGCCATTCCGGATGCTGCTACTCCTGTAGAGCAGCCGGCCCAATCCGGCGGCGGCGCACCTTGCCCTGCCTCCCGCCATCGCCGCCTGGATTGCGATCCACACAAAATGCGATATGCGTCACTCCCCCTTCTCTCTCTCTCACCCACACCACCACATGATGCGTGCCTGTGGTCTTGACCTAGCTCCTTGCCTCCGACCTAATTAATCTCGACCGTTGGATTATTTTGGCGCCGGGCGAGCAGATTAATCGCCCATTCGCCCTTCCAAAACGTCCTCGCATTTACCCGGTCTGGGCAAAGTCAAACTGTCCGGCGTGCCACGTGTAAAAGGGGTGTAAAGGCACGGCTCCTCATTGGTCAAGCGGCCCCCCAGCCAGATAGCTAGGGCAGCGTTGTGCGTGGTGAATGGCAAGCAAGCGCATCCAGAAGGAGCTGCTGGATTTGCAGCGCGACCCGCCCACGTCATGCAGCGCCGGCCCCGTTGGTGAGGATCTCTTCCGCTGGCAGGCCACAATCATGGGTCCGCCCGACAGCCCTTACACCGGCGGCGTCTTCTTCGTCATGATCCATTTCCCCCCGGACTATCCATTCAAGCCGCCCAAGGTCAACTTCCAGACCAAGGTAACTCTCTCACTCTTCGGTGCTACCGAGCGTAACGCAACGTTCACGCAGGTTTACCATCCAAACATCAACTCCAATGGGAGCATCTGCCTCGACATCTTGAAGGAGCAATGGAGCCCGGCTCTCACCATCTCCAAGGTTTTGCTCTCCATTTGCTCGCTCCTCACCGATCCAAATCCCGACGATCCTCTGGTGCCCGAGATTGCCCACATGTACAAGAACCAGAGAAGCCGGTATGAGGAGACCGCCAGGGCGTGGACGCAAAAGTATGGCATGAATTGAACACGAGCAAGAACAAGCAAGCCGGATCGGGCATCTACACCACCACCACCACCACCACCACCATCCCCCATCTTGGTCAGTTCTTCTCGGTTCTTATTTATGCGATCTCATTCGTGTTCCAGGGTTTCTTTCGCTTCCTTCCCTCTCCATTCTCAAGTGAGTGAGTTACACTGACCCCGATCTAGTGAAATCAAAACCCATCTTTGTCTATAAACTTCACATCTATCTTGAGAAAACAACAAGCGAAAAGCTTGTAGTCTCCCGAATTTCGAGTGGCAAGAAGAAACTTTGGCTTTTGGTAGATTTTGGAGGGCGATGTCAAGGGACATGGATGCACGATCACAAAAAAGAAAACAAAAACAGCGAAGTTCTTCCCACCAGATGAAATGTTCCGCGCATATTCCTTCTTTGTGGTGGGAAGCCTCAAATTTGGTGGGGTTTTTTTTTTCTTGTGGGGTCTCAGTTCCTTCTTGGAATGGCTAGGGCGGGGCGGGCGATCTATGGCGCTGTATAGCCACCACCAGGTATGGGCATGGCTATTTAGGCAAGGGTCCAAGTAGTTCCACCGCCGCCGCCCGCTGCTTTCCCAAGATCCAAGAAAGGAATGGGGTGCTCGTCATCCAAGAATGTGGATGTCTACCATGGCAGCAAAGCGCAGCCTCTTGCTCGATCTCCCGTTGACGATGCGCACCTCGTCGCCCTCACATCCAGCACGTATGGATTCTTGCGGGTGGATTCGCACAAGAAATCTTCGTCCGAGGAAGCAGCGGCTGTGGCGGACGATCCGGTGAACGAGGTGTATCAGAAGATGATGAGCTTGGATTCGGGGGGCTCACAGTTGCCGCAGTCGTGGTCGGAGGTGAACAGTGTTCTCACGCAGCTTAAGTCGCAGGCGCAGCACAAGAAAACCAGCGCCAGTGCTCTTTCCGGGAGAGTCGAGCCCGAGACCGTGGATGTTTTGAAGCTGCTCCAGAGTGTGGAGGAGGCACCACCGAAAGCTCCGAAAGCTCCAGCTCCAGCAGCAGCGTCTCCGCCGTCGCAGCCCAAGCGAGAGTTTTCGGTGATCCACACTCTGGAAGAAGTCGACCAGCTCGCGCACTCCAACTCGGCTGCCTCTCAAGACAGCGACACCGAAAGCGAGGAGGATTTCTTCCGGCACAGCAGCATGCCAAACGGCCGGTCGAGCGGCGGCGCGAATGCAACCAACAGGTTCTCGATGAGCTCGGTGGTGAGACGCCCCGATAGCAGGTCCAAGGTGCCGAGCAAGGCGTCGAGATCATTGTCGACGTATGGCGATGGTGGTGGTGGTGGCGACGCTGGTCGACAAGTGGATAGTACGCTGTTTGATGCCGAGTTCCTCGAGTCATTCAGGGAGGCTTTCGAGCAGTTGTCGACAGGCGTTTCCGCTGCTGCTACTGCCGCGGCGGGGAAGCAGGGACTTTCCCAGCCTCGGCCGAAGGTGTCAGTGGCGGCAAAGAGCAAGGCCATGGTCCCTTCTCAAGCAGCAAATCGCCAAGACAGGAGTAAGGTGGCGGCGCCGCCTGCAATGCCAGTATCAGATCGCGAAGAAGAAGAAGCCGAGCAGCAAGCAAGTCGTGGCCGCGGAGAGACAAGGACGGATTCGAAGGCTGGCACAGTGCAGAGCAAGGTGGCGGATTGGAACAAGAAGAACCAAGCGGCGGATCGAAGCTACAGCAGCAAAGCCGCTCCTCCTGCTCCACCACCACCACCACCACCACCACCAGCTATGGAGATCGATTTGCTGCAACACTGTCCAAAGAGATGCCCCCCGGATGGCGAGAACAAGGCGGTGCTCTACTCTACCAGCTTGCGGGGCATCCGCAAGACGTTCGAGGACTGCAACACGGTGAGGAACATCCTCCACAGCACCAACGTGGAGTTGGACGAGCGGGACGTGTCCATGGACTCGCAGTTCCGGCAGGAGCTCAAGGATCTCATGGACAAGCCGGTGCCGGTGCCGCGGCTCTTCATCAAGGGGCGCTACATTGGCGGCGCCGAGGAGGTGGTGGCGGCGCACGAGAGCGGCGCGCTGGCCAGGATGCTCCACGGCCTGCCGCACGGCAACCTGAGCAAGGACTGCGATGGCTGCGGCGGCGTGCGATTCATCCCCTGCACGGATTGCAGTGGCAGCTGCAAGAGCGTCGGCGCCGACGGAGGCGTCGTCAAGTGCCCGGAATGCAACGAGAATGGCTTGGTTCGCTGCCCGATATGCTCGTGATCGTGATAGAGTGAGTATATATATAAAAGAGAGAGAGGAAGTTTCTAGGGTTCTTAGCTAGGGCTCTTGGCCGCCTCTTCGTTAATCCCAGCCACGGCTTTCTTTCTCGCCGTGTCTGATTCATCAGAGGCGCATAGCAAACCAGATCTGCAAGTTTCGCTGACAGCACCCGATTCACCGCTGGGTGTCTATCTGATAGTAGCTTCGCAGACATTCACCTCAGTCACTGGCACTGGAATTTCTCGACTCTAGCGTACTAGAATCAATCCATCGATGTCCTTGTTGGCCTTGAATCCAATTAATACAAAAGAAAAGTTCTCGATTCGCTCTTGCTCCGAGCGCGCCAAGCGAATGAAGCGCGATGGAGTGGCGGGCGGCGCATTGGCTTCTCTTGACTGAGCGAGGCCGTCAAATAGGGTTTAACGGGAAAAAACCAAAGTGGCGTGTGTGTGTTGGAGAAAACCCTAGGGTTTCGCAATTTGACGAGGAGGGGCGATCGACGCGGTGGCGCTCATGGCGGAGAAGCTGCTCGACTTTGGGCAGCCATTTGATGTGCCGGTTCTCGACGCCACCGTCGCTGCCTTTTACGGGACGGGCTCCAAGGATGAGGTGAGTTTTAGCTCCCATTCGGCATTGCATTCGTTGGTTTTTCCCCTTTCTTGAGCTCCAATTGCATTCGCCACCACTCTGGGATCCATGGATTGAGCGCGGATCTTTCTTTGTGTTCTTTCAGAGAGCAGCCGCGGAGAAAATCCTCACCCAGCTGCGGGACCATCCCGAGACGTGGAGGAGGGTTGTGGACATCCTCCAGACCTCCCAGAACCTCAACTCCAAGTTCTTTGCCCTCCAGGTAATGGATGGATCATTCGTGGCTTCTCACCGCCTCTCATCGACGCTTCAGGTGCTCGAGTGCGTGATCAAGTACCGCTGGAACATCTTGCCTGTAGAACAGCGAGACGGGATCAAAAACTACGTCTCGGACCTCATCGTCAAGGTTTGCCTTGGCTTTGCCATGTTCGTGATCAAAAACTCTCTTTGTTTGGGTTGAGTGCAGCTGTCCAGTGATCCGGTGTCGTTCCGAGATCAACGCTTATACATCAACAAGCTAAATGTGGTGCTTGTTCAGGTCTGTGCCTGGTTTCTATTCTGCTCACAGGCTGATCACTGCCCTCTTGTGACCGTGGCAAACAGGTTTTAAAACACGAGTGGCCAGTTAGATGGCCGAGATTCATTCCCGACCTCGTCGTGGCGGCTAGAAGTAGCGAAACTCTTTGTGAGAACTGCATGCTCATTTTGAAGGTTGGTTCTTCACTTTCCTTATGCTGCTTCTTTGACCCGTTCTGTAAAGCTGCTAAGCGAGGAGGTTTTCGATTTTTCTCAAGGCGAAATGACCCAAAGCAAAATCAAAGAGCTAAAGCAGTCATTGAACAGGTACAGAGCTTTGCACTTAGCGCTTCTCATCGTCCTCAATCTTTCTGTGCAGCGAGTTCCAACTCATTCACGAGCTTTGTCTCTACGTGTTATCGGCATCACAAAAGGCTGATCTTATACGCGCGACGTTGGCTACCCTGCACGCTTTTTTGTCATGGATACCTCTTGGCTACATATTCGAATCTCCCCTGGTATTATAACCTTGTGGTTGCTCGCTATGCAGTTATACTTATGTTTCTATTTCAGCTCGACGCATTGCTGAAGATCTTCCCCATTGCGACATTTCGGAACCTTGCTCTGCAATGCCTGACAGAGGTACGTGCATCTTTCCATCAAAACTTTCTCTAACACGTGATATGCCTTCCACAGATCGGTACCTTGCAATTCAACCAAATCTACGACAACAACTTTGTGCGCCTGTACCAAATCTTCATAACGCAGCTTCAGGTATCGTATCACCTTATACACACACTTAACCACCTGTTTTGCTCGGGTAGGCAATCCTTCCACCGGGAACAAATATTCCTGAAGCGTATGAGAAGGGGGCGAACGAGGATCAGGTACTTGCCCACCTACATCTACTTTGCGTCCGTATAATTTTCTCTGCACGTTTTGTAGGCGTTCATTCAGAATCTTGCGATGTTCTTCACATCGTTCTTCAAGGTTAACTTCTTATCTGTTTGATGAACTTGTTTTTCTACTTTAAACGTTTTGAAACAGTCGCACATTGAGATTCTGGAAGGCTCGAATCAAGCACCACTGTTGCTGGGACTGGATTATCTCATCAACATATCTTACGTCGAAGACAACGAGGTTTTCAAGGTGTGCTTGGACTATTGGAATTACTGGATTGGCCACCTGTTCAAGGTTACAATGGACACGCTCTCTCAACCTGTTGGTTTGCAAGTTGATGGCATAGGCTCCAACAGAAAAGAGCTGTATGCTGTGCCACTCTCCAAATTGAGACTGCTGATGGTCAGCCGTATGGCCAAGCCGGAGGAGGTCTTGATTGTAGAAGACGAGAACGGGAACATTGTCCGAGAGACCATGAAGGACAACGACGTACTTGTTCAATATAAGGTAGTTTCTTTACTTTTTCAATTGCGATTGTTAATTTTCGATTGTCAGATAATGCGGGAGACTCTAATATATCTCTCCCACCTTGATCATGAAGACACAGAACAGCAGGTACAATATCGATGTCAATCTTTTGACAGGTTGCTAACCTTACTGCGCTTTTCTCTGTGCAGATGCTGAAAAAGCTATCCAAACAGCTTAACGGGGACGAGTGGACATGGAATAACTTGAATACTCTCTGTTGGGCCATAGGGTCGATATCTGGTTCCATGCAAGAGGACCAGGTTCTTTTCTTTCTCCTTTTTTCTTTTGTCGACTTTATATTGAGAAAGTAACTCTTTTCCTGCAGGAGAATAGGTTTCTGGTTACTGTTATTAGGGACCTTTTAAACCTCTGTGAAATAACAAAAGGAAAGGACAACAAAGCCGTTATTGCAAGTAATATAATGTATGATGCCTCATCTACAGCCTATGAAATTGCCCGGTCTAATGGTTGTATTTCAGGTATGTTGTGGGACAGTATCCCAGATTTCTGAGAGCCCATTGGAAGTTTTTAAAAACTGTTGTGAACAAACTGTTTGAGTTTATGCATGAGACCCATCCCGGCGTCCAGGTAAGGACGTCAATTTGCAGTGGTGATAGATTGCATTCCTGTCATTTTCAGGACATGGCTTGCGATACGTTCTTGAAGATTGTCCAAAAATGCAGGAGGAAGTTTGTCATCCTGCAGGTAATGTATTTGTTTCGTCGCAAACATCCCTAGGATCTACGTGCGCTGCAGGTCGGAGAGTCTGAGCCTTTCGTTTGCGAGCTCTTAAAGTTGCTTCCAAGTATTATTCTAGATCTTGAAAATCATCAGATCCATACTTTTTATGAAGCGGTATGTGATGGGGCTCATAACGTAGTTCACTGAGCGTTTCGTGGGCGCAGGTGGGATCTATGATTCAAGCCGAGTCAGATCCATACAGACGGGAAGAGTATCTACGGAGCTTAATGGAGCTGCCCAATCAGGTGGGCGGAGCTGTTTGCGTGTTTGCAGTTCCTGACTTTTGGCTTTACAGAAATGGGCGGAGATAATCAACCAAGCGCGGCAGAGTGTGGATTTTTTGAAAACTCAGGACGTTGCGAGGGCCGTGCTTAACATTTTGCAGGTACTGTCACTGGACTTGGTGCTTTAAATGTTTTGATTCGTGCTCTCCTGCAACAGACAAACACGAGTGCTGCAAACTCACTTGGACAGCCTTTTTTATCTCAAATAACTCTAATTTACCTTGATATGCTCAACGTTTACAGGTAGAAGCTTTTCCATTTCTAACCAGTTCCTGATGTTTCTCTTGTTTTCAGAATGTATAGCGAACTTATTTCAAGCAGTATTGCTGGAGGCGGTCCATACGCATCTCGCACCTCTTACGTGAAGCTTTTGAGGTACGGTGGAGATATCTTTGCCTTCTCCGGTCTTATGTTTCTAGCAGATCTGTGAAGCAGGAGACGTTGAAATTGATTGAGACGTTTATAGAGAAATGTGAAGACCTGGAAATGGTTGCAAAGCAGTTTGTTCCGGCAATGATGGATCCCATACTCGGTGACTATGCTAGGAACGTTGCCGATGCACGTGAATCGGAAGTGCTATCGTTGTTCGCTACGATCATTAACAAGTACGTTTTGCTTTTCGATTGCCTGCTTATTTTGTATGATCTTTGTCAACAGGCTTACCGGCTCTATGATCGAGGACGTCCCTCGGATATTTGAAGCAGTCTTTGCATGCACGCTAGAGGTATCTTTGGTACCTTTTTTGTGCCATTCTAATTCCCTTGTGTTTTCCGTTCCAGATGATTACCAAGAATTTTGAAGATTATCCGGAACACCGACTGAAGTTTTTCTCTTTGCTTCGGGCTATAGCATCGCATTGTTTTCGGGCGCTTTTCTCTCTCTCGTCTCAGGTATCTCTTTTGCAGCTGTTGGTACGATTTTTTCTCAATGCTGTCAATGTGTTCCCAGCAATTGAAGCTTGTGATGGATTCGATAATCTGGGCGTTTCGGCATACAGAACGAAATGTTGCCGAAACAGGACTGAACTTGTTGCTGGAAATGCTCTCCAACTTTCAGGTGCGTTTTACTTTACTCGGTTCTTTGCTGTAATGCCTCTTTTATACTTCAGGCGTCCGAGTTTTGCAACCAGTTCCATCAAAGCTACTTCCTTACCATTGAACAGGAAATATTTGCTGTTCTGACCGACACGTTCCATAAACCCGGCTTCAAGCTTCATGTTCTCATTCTTCGGCATCTTTTCTGCCTGGTAAAAGTTTGTGTATGCAAGTTGGTTAAGCTTACTCTCGAGGGTGGGCTCAGGTTGATTCCGGAGTGTTGACGCAACCTTTGTGGGACGTGAGCGTAGCTGGACCTACTGCTTACGCAAACAACATGCTTTTTGTTCGTGACTATACTATTAAACTCCTTCACTCCTCGTTTCCGAACATGACGCTTTCAGAGGTACACATGTTTGCTGTTTCGGAGGTCCTTGTCGCCTCACATGCTTCTTGTTCAGGTGACGATGTTCGTGAACGGTCTTTTCGACAACAGAAACGACCTGGTCGGGTTCAAGAACCATCTACGGGACTTTTTGATCCAGTCGAAGAAGTTTTCCGTCCAGGTACGTGATGACTTCGCTGTGTCATTTGATGTGACGAGGCCTTGCTGTGCAGGACAACAAGGACTTGTATGCGGACGAAGCAGCAGCACAGCGAGAAGCGGAGAGGCAAAGAATGCTTAGCGTCCCCGGGCTGATTGCTCCGAACGAGATCCACGACGAGATGTTGGACACCTGACCATTGATCGCTGACACACACACAAGACATTTCTACGCTGCAGCGGCACCTACTGGTGATGCTTCTGTGGGCAGTGTGAGAGAGAGTGCATTGGTGCAGGTTCAGGAAGGAGTCCTGGTAAAATGCCCTGCCTGCTTAGCTTCTCAGCAAGGCACACTGCCGGAATGGTGGCTGAAGTGGGACGAGGCGAGGAGAGGAGCTTGGATTTTCGTAAACTACGTTTCCTTGAGAAGTCTTTAGGAACGGGGGACGGAGGGAGGGGGACATGAACAGCAACAACAGGTGAAGCTGGGCGTGGCACACGCCACAGCGAATGATCCTTTGGCTCTAGTGTGCTTTAGTGGTGGTGCTACCATACTACTTTTTACAAGATATGGCGAGAGAGAGCAACATTTTTTGTCCCTGCTATCGTGTAAGTAAAAAAAGGCAAGCAAAAAAGTCCAGGCAAAGTGGCTTTCCTTTGTTTAGCTTTGATCTCTGAAAGGCTGCCTGCGCAAAAAAAAGGCGAAGAAATCCTCCTCTTTTTTATTTGCTTGTTCTGTTCTCTTCTCGTGGGTCTTCCTTGGGCGATCGTCGAAGCGTGAAAACTTGTGAAAACTTGTGAAGACATGAGGCCGGCATTGTTGTTGCTCTTGGCGCTGGTGGCGAGCATGGGTGAGTTTGAAGTAACCATTTTGTAACTAGCTACGCGTTCATGCAGGTGATATGTTTGTCGCAGAGGGGAGCCAAATCCAACAAGCTCGCAGTGTCATCCCCGGCATTGGCGTCAACTTTGGGCAACTTGGCAACAATCTCCCGGCGGCGCAGCACGTAGCGCAGCTGCTCCAGTCGACGGTGATTGCCAAGGTGCGCATCTTCAACACGGAGGCGGCATTCCTGCGCGCCATGGCCAACACCGGCATCGACGTGGCCGTGGGTGTGTGCAACGCCGACGTGCCCGCCCTCGCCGCCAACGCATCCGCGGCGGCTGCCTGGGTGTCGGCCAACATCGCCCCCTTCGCCGCCGCCGGCACGCGCATCACGCTCGTCACTGTCGGCAACGAGGTGTTCAGCGCCGACGACCAGCAGCTGGCGGCGGCCATCGTCCCCGCCATCCGCAACATCCACACCGCGCTCGCCGCCGCCAAGCTCGCCGACACCGTCCACGTGTCCACCCCGCATTCCTTCGCCATCCTCGACAACTCCTTCCCGCCCTCGTCCTCCGCCTTCCGCGCGGACCTCGCGCCGCTCCTCGACCCGCTGCTCCGCTTCCTGGTCGACACGCGCGCGCCGCTGCTGGTCAACGCCTACCCGTACTTTGCGTTTGCCGGCAACCCGCACGACATTCCCCTGCCGTACGCGCTCTTCCAGCCCAACGCCGGCGCACCCGACCCCAAGACCGGTCTCATCTACACCAACATGTACACCGCCCAGGTGGACGCGGCGGTGGCCGCCATGGAGCGCATGGGCCACTTTGGAATCCCGGTAGCCGTGACCGAGACGGGCTGGCCGTCGCAGGGAGGCTCGGACGAGGTCGGGGCCAGCGTGGACAATGCCCGGGCCTTCACACGTGGACTCGTTGCACACCTGGCGTCCAGCTCGGGCACGCCCCTCCGCCCGCGTCAGCAGCTCGACACTTACATCTTTGCTCTCTTCAACGAGGACCTCAAGCCCGGCCCCGCGTCGGAGAGGAACTATGGCTTGTTTGCCACCGATGGCACGCCCATCTACGACGCCGGGTTACTGCTAACTAGTGGCACCCATGTTGGCGGTGGCACTGCCACTGCCACTACTGTAAGTAGCAGCTCCAACACCACGCGGATGCGTGGGTACAAGGATGGGCAGCAGGATCACAAGCTGAGCAGTGGCAATTCCTGGTGTGTTGCAAAGACCGATGTCGACTCGCGGGCACTGCTCACCGCACTCAACTACGCATGCGGGCAGGGCGAGGCGGATTGCAAGGAGATATCGTCGCCAGCCGGCTCGTGTTTCCAGCCCAACAGCCTCGTGTCGCATGCATCCTACGCCTTCAACATGTTCTACCACAAGTACGGCCGCAAGCCCTGGAACTGCGACTTTGGGAACACGGCCACGCTCACCGCAACGGACCCGAGTGAGTGCTACTGCATTCTCGTATTTTTGTTTGCACTCTCACTATTTGCTACACTTCTTGAATCCAATCCAGGCTACGGATCGTGCAGCTACCCTGCAGCAGCAGCAGGAGCAGGAGCTCCTTAATCTCTTTCAAGTTTCCGTTTTCTCTTACACTGGATTACATGACCGTTGGTCTGGTCGGGTATCAAACATTTGAAGGATTTCCGTCTTTTCTGCTAGAATACCCTGTGTCATCCTCCCTTCTTCTTTTTAGTGGACTTTGTCGCACAGCTATGGCGAGCAAGACCAGTTTGCTGCGTGCCATCCTCGTGGGCTACATAGCACTAGTGGTTGCAACAGCGCCAATCCTAGGTAAGAGTAGAAAAGGAGCTTTGTTTTTCTTTTCCGTTGGGCATCCAGCAAGCTCAAGCCCAAAAGAGTGAAAAGAAGAATCTACAAAGATATCATGGTTCCAATGATCCAGGGGCGCTCGATCGCACGGAGAGCTCGAGACAAGACACGAAGACGGGGAGCCAGGTGTGGTGCGTGGCCAAGCCTCACGCCGACCAGGCGGTGCTGTCGAAGGGCCTCAACTTCGCGTGTGGCGAAGGGGGCGCCGACTGTGCTGCCATCCAGAACGGAGGAGCTTGCTACAACCCGCCCACACTCATCGCTCACGCCTCGTACGCCTTCAACAGCTACTACCAGATCAAGGGCCGCAACTACTGGAACTGCTACTTCCAAAACGCGGCCCTGCTCGTCGTCACCGATCCAAGTACGTGCTACTTGTTCCTAGCGAACAACCATTCTTTTCTCACATTGATTCTTCCAGGCTATGGTTCTTGCACTTACCCAGCGCTCTAACAGGAATCAGGATGAATGAATGTAGCTCTCCTAGTTTTTATATGCCCCAATGAATGCAAAACAAATTTACGACCAGGTCCAAGGATCGAGTCATGTAGGGCATGCTTCGAGCTCCACTCTTTGCTGCGACCAAGCGCGCCATGTCCACTTCCACAGCAACCAACGCATTCCACTCGCGTTTCCAGCAATACGCTCTCCAACTGGACGCTACTGTAAGTGGAAGAAGTGGTTTCTTTTCTTCGGCCAATACCATTGTGCTAACCTTTGTGCTTCCACAGAACGAGAGACGGGAGAGGCTCGTCAAGGCTAGCCGGGATGTTACCATCCACAGTAAGAAGGTCATCTTCGTGATCCACAGGTAGAGCCCCTTGGGCGCTTCTTTTCTTTCTTTTGCCAAAACGCACACCACCCAGGCTCAACGATTCCAACCGCGATAAGATAGTGGAGCAAGCCGAGAAGGATCTGGCAGCGGTGCGCGACGCTCATGTCTCCCGCGTAGCAAGAGAGGTTGAGGGCGTTGACTACTGGAAGCTCAAGCGAGCATTCTCTCCAGGGGTACGTACTCGCTGCTGTGTGTGCTCGTGTTACGATTGATTGATCACAAACTCCTTGTTCCATCCAGATGCAGGAGTTTGTGGAAGCTGCCACGGTGGTGGAGTTTTGCAAGACTGGGAAGCTCTTGACGCTGCAACAGCTCAACAGCAGCCTTTGTGGCGTCAAGGATGCATCCGGTGTGTCCTTCTCGGTCGATATTGACGACTACTTGCTCGGGGTAAGCTCGGGTCGACTGTAACTCATCGTTTACATGCGTGCTTGTAGATTGCGGACTTGTCTGGCGAGCTGATGCGCCTGGCCGTGAGCAGCGCAGCCAGCGGGCAGGGCCTGGAGGCGTCGGCGAGGATCCGTGGCTTTGTGCAGGCACTGTACGAAGGCTTCTGCCTCTTGTTTTACAACGTCGACGGCGGGAGAGACATGACCAAGAAGGTGGAGGTGATGCTCCAGAGCCTCGTCAAGATCGAGACAAGTAAGCTTTGCAAGGGATAGGTTGGTGCTGTCGCTCACGTGTTGCTTTGTAGCTTGCTACTCCATGCACGTCAGAGGGTCAGAGTATCCGGCAAGCATCGTCGACAGCTGAACGTAACGTTACCTTGCTAGTTTTGCCCTAACTGTCAGCTTTTCAGGTTGGGAGGAAATGTAGCGAGTGTGAATATTTGCTTCGTTGTTGCTCCGCAGGATGTTTGGGACTAGTTATCTGGGTTCCAAGCTGGCCCCCTACAAGTATCATGGCGTGCAGCAGCAGCAGCAGCGGGGGCCACTTCTTCTCTGCGCCCCGTCTTGCTGCTATCAGCAGCAGCTTGTCTTGCAACCTTCAACACCAACACAGCAGCAGCCAGTCTTTGTTCCAGGAGCATCAGAGAAGCCAGGCTTTGTTGTTGATTTCCTCATGGGTGGGGTCTCGGCAGCTGTTTCCAAGACTGCAGCAGCCCCCATCGAGCGTGTCAAGCTTCTGATCCAGAACCAGGACGAGATGATCCGCATGGGACGGCTGTCTGAGCCTTACAAGGGCATTCTTGACTGCTTTGGTAGGACCATGAGAGATGAAGGGGCTATGTCGCTGTGGAGAGGCAACCTGGCCAATGTTATCCGCTACTTCCCTACTCAGGTTACTTCCTGATATCTTGGTCTCCTATCAATTTGCTCATTGTCTGGGTGTACACACAGGCGCTAAACTTCGCCTTCAAGGACCACTTCAAGAGGCTCTTCAACTTTAAGGCCGACCGGGACGGCTACTGGGTGTGGTTTGCTGGAAACCTGGCGTCGGGAGGCCTTGCCGGTGCCTCCTCGCTCTTCTTTGTCTACTCGCTGGATTATGCCCGGACCCGCCTGGCCAACGACGCCAAGGCTGCAAAGAAGGGTGGTGGCGGTGGCGGTGGCCGCCAGTTCAATGGCCTCCTGGACGTGTACAAGAAGACCCTGGCCAGCGATGGCATTGCCGGCCTTTACCGCGGCTTCAACATTTCGTGCGTGGGTATTGTTGTGTACCGGGGCCTCTATTTTGGAATGTACGACTCCCTCAAGCCGGTGCTGTTGGTTGGAGACCTCAAGGTGACTTTTTAGCTCGCTCCAGCAATCAATCGTGCTTTGTTCTTTGTGCAACAGGGCAACTTTGCTGCGAGTTTCTTCTTGGGCTGGAGCATCACCATTGCTGCTGGCCTTGCCTCGTACCCGATTGACACGGTGAGGCGGCGTATGATGATGAGGTCTGGCGAGGGTGCCAAGTACAAGAGCTCAATGCACGCACTGAGGGAAATTATGGCCAAGGAAGGAGTCAAGTCCTTGTTTAAGGGTGCAGGTGCTAACATCTTGAGAGCCGTGGCTGGAGCTGGAGTGTTGTCTGGCTATGACCAATTGCAAATGATCTTCCTGGGAAAGAGTTATGGCTCTGGTGGGGGTGGCTGACAAGCACAAGCTGGATGCAGATCTTGTTTTGTTCATGCTACTGCATTTGATGCTTTAAAGATCATAAAAGGTTTTCTAATCCATTGAAAGTATTACTACTGTGGGTGAGGGCTCGATGATCGAGGCGCTACGGTGCGGTCAATAGTCGGGAAACCGGCCGGGATTGATCGAGCTGTGCAAAGTCTGGAATCAGAGGGCTACGAGTTTGTGGGGGAGTTGAAAAATCTCACATACGACGAAGTGATCCAGCTAAGGGTGCCTGTTGCTAAGAAGCTTGAGCCGCACCTCAAAGTGCCAGGTATGGCTTCTCTTGCTTCGCGTTTGTTTGTATGGCTATGACTGTTGTGTTCTGTTCCTATGCCCCTCGTTTTCTCTTTGATCCATGTCGGCTAAGAGTTGCTTCTCTTGTTTATAATTAAGGACTTATTATAATTAATTACAATATAATATAACCCTAAACCGTTCCTGACGACCACTGCCATACTAAAGGGTTTCAAGATAGGGTTTCAGCTAGCAAAATGGACGAGGAATTGGCTAAGGTGAAGGCTCAAATCGGGCTTCTTGAGCCGCAGATCCAAGCGGCTGGGGAATCTTTTCTCTCTGCCCTTCAGAGTGGCAATCAATCTCTGGCGGAATATTGGCGGAACGAGAAAGAGCACCTGCGGAAGAAGGAAGAACAGCTGCGGGAGGAAAAACTCCTCCTCCTCAGAAGTAATGGTAAGTCATTCTTTAGCCTTCTCCCTCGATTTGGGGCGTTTTGCTGTGTGTCGTTTCCATGTGGCTGCTAGAGGTTTGGCTATGGTGTTTCAGCCTATGGCATCGTGTGTTTGGCGTCAGGCTTTTGTTCGTGGCCGTTTGCTTGTTGGGCTCTCGTGCTGTTGGATTGTTGGTATTCTGCGATCTCCTTATTCAGTCGATTGGGCCAGTGTGGTCACACTATGTTGGCTATGTTGCTCACTCCTTTTCTTGTCTGAAACAGAAACAAAGACAACCATAACAGGAGCAGCCATAATACAGGCGTGTGATGCTTCCATCTCCACGAGATCGCAGTTCATATCTCGGTTGGCTCCTCACGAGTCGGGTTCTAAGGTGAAATTTCCCTCGGCCCAGACACTCATGTGCGCGCTTAGTAACCTGCCATGCCTTCTATGGGAAGGCGTAGGAGATGGACTTGTGAAGCTCGACAATCGGTTTGCACAGAGGTTGTCAGAACACCAAACCACCGTGCTCTTGGCTCCCAGCGGTTCAGGAAAAACGAGAATGTTGATCGAACTTGCCTGCAGTAGATTCACCTTGTTTCTCACGGGTAAGCGTCCGATGGTTGGATTTGGAGGAGGATCGAATGATGTAGACAGGGTTGCCAGCTGGATGGAGACTCGGTTGCCCGCAAGTGAACACGATCTTGATCCGAATCATGCAGTGGTGCGGTTTGGTGTTGGGATTTTGATTCTTGTCCGGTTGAAATATTTGAAGTTGCTGAAAGCGCTGAAACCTGGGCTTCATCCTCGTGATTGGGCATTTTTCCAGTTGGAGTACCCGGCAGTTGATGATGTTTTCCATGCTGCGGTTGAAGCCTTGATCAATTGTGTTCCAGTGGGTCAGCAACTGCCTTCGGATCAGCTGACGCAGGCTATAAGGATTCTTGCAGATGACATTGGTTGGAAGGAGGGGGTGGTTGTCCTTGATGAGGCTCAAAGGCTGCTTCATTGTATGAAAGGTCGATTCAATTCTAAACTCAGTCCTACGAAAGGGGAGCCATTGTTGAACCCCATGTTACTGGCTCTGAAGTCGTACGGTTTCTTGAAGAGCTGCTTGTTTGTTGCGGGCACCGGCACGAGTATGCTTGAGGTTCGGAAAAGACTTCAGTCAGGGACAGTGAAGCTGACAGTGCCTTCCGATGTAAGCGAAATTTATAGCTTACCTGGCTTTGACGACACCAACATTCCAGCCTTTCTCCAACGGTTTATAGATATCAGCAGGCTGGACATGCCCACGATTACTTCCATGTACACTGGAAGAAGGCGACTTTTGAGCACGGCGATTGAGAAGTACGTTGTGCAGGAGAAACCACCAGAGGATTGGTTCCAAGTTTTCTTTTTGGAGTTGATCAACAAGACTGGGGTGGAACTTGGACTTTCTCGGTCTTTAAGGGATGAAGCCGAGCAGGTGTGGGATCCAGAGACGGCACAAATGATTGAGGACATTCTGTTCACATATTATCTTACAGGTATGTGTCACTGAGTCTTTACAGATATATTCCTCATGCTGGTTTTTTCCAGGTTTTGGTCATGTTATTGTGCAGCGAAAGAGGAGTGTCATGACCTTAGTTGATTGTGGCTTTGCAACGCTGCTTGAGAGTGATGCTGGTGCCGGACCTTTTGCACCGATTATTCCACACATAAGAGGGGTGAGGGGTGATGAAGCCGGACCTGGTTCTTCAGGTCGGGCTAACGTGGGATACGTGATCCTTCAAGAGCCGATGATTGCAGAAGCACTCTGGGAACATATGCCTGCTGGTACAGTAATGGAGCGAGTCATCAGCACAGCTGCAAACGCATCAGTCCGTGGCATTACCTTTGAGCGGTATGCACGCATCGTGGGGGAGGCATTTGACAACAAGCTACCAGCTGAGGTTTTGGGTTTGCAGGAAACAGATGTGGTCTACAAGGAGGAGTATGAAGTTGTAAAGCCAAGAGGGCACTCGGGGGTGCTGGTTCAGGAGATTCAGACTGAAGAACAGTTGAACCTGTGGCTTGAAGCTGTTGAGGCTGGTGCATCGTTTGCTACTTATGCATGGCTTGGACCATTCCAAGAAGCTGGACCAGATGGGATGTTTCTTCTCAGAAGCAAAGAGTCGCACAAGATGATGCCTGTGTTTCTACAGTTCAGGACCGGATCTGGGCTGGGTGTGACTCAAGCTTTTTCCTCACTCGACATCATGAAGATTGACAAGATGCTGCATTCAGGAGGAGCCTCTCGAAAACTAAAACAGTGGTGCTGGACTGGCTACCTTAGGCTGGTTGTTTCACCAAACCCACATCCAAGGGTAGGAAAGGTGGCCTTCGGAGATGTGTGGTGGAGTGGGCGAGCGAGAAAGGGGCACAAAGAAATCCCCCTGGTAAGGCATATTTCATTTGATTTTTGACATGTTTATTTTGTCCTTCAGGTTTCACCTCTGTCGGCTGTTTGGGCTGGGCGGAAACTTCGGGGGATCGTCAACACGGAATTGCTGGATGCTGTGGAAGAGGTGAAGAAAGGTTTGAAGAAACGGAAAAGGGGGTGAAGCGCTTTGCTCGTCTTCGGGCAGATTTATTGGGAAGCACGCTGTAGATCACCAAGAGCAGAAACCATAAAGAAGCAATCATGGATTATGTGAAAGACTTGCTGCAACGTTTTCACAAAGTGCACTCACAGTTCTGCCCTGTGTCCTTGATCTTCTGTTTTGGGAAGGATTTGAAGAGTTTTTCAGGGACCACATCATGCTATCTAAATTTTAAAATTTGATAACTTAAACCAAGGTTTTAAACTTATAGAACATTCATTTTTCCAAGTTTCTTGAATATTCAGAGTATTAAAGTTCCTAGAATATTCAGAGTATATATTATGAGTTTGCAAGCAAGAATGTTGTAGTGGTCAAACCGAGACCTGTTTTCATTCATGGACTTTGTAAGCAACTAAATTTTCCATTCTACTTTAGTCACTTAACCATACTTCCGACCACTTGGAGGAGTCTCATTCACAACCTCCATA